GAACACAGCTCTGTGAGTGTAAACAGCATAGAGCTGTGTTCAGTGACGTGGGATCTAGTTGGTTTTTTATTCCTTGCTAAACATTTAACCCCTTGATCTCCCTAAATGTTAAAGTGGAGTTTCACTCAAAAGCAGAAGCTCCACTTATTTGCCTCCCCCCCCCTCCACTGCCATATTTGTCACTTTTTGAGGGGGGAGCAGATACAGTTGTGGCCAAAATTATTCAACCCCCAATGCTGTAAAGGGGTTTAGGGACTATAGTGTACATTTGGAATTGTATTCAGAATCAAATCCTACAAGGACGTTGTAACTACCCAAATGCAACTAAAATGACATCAATTGTTTATGTAATACAGTAGTAAATGGTTCTTATGTGGTTTCTTCATTGCCACAATTATTCAACCCCTTAAAGACTACCACTCTGAAGAACAGAGGTTCATACAGGTGCTTTCCATCAGGTATTGAAAACACCTGTGGATGTCACCGAGCAGCAATCAAGCATAATAAGCACCAATTAGGCAGCTTTAAAATGACTGTGATACTCAGCTCCTTCTAGACATTTACTGGTGTGGTTACAAACATGGTGAAGGCAAGAGAATGGTCCAGGAAGACAAGAGAAGAGGTGATTTCTCTTCACAGGAAGGGCAATGGCTATAAGAAGATTGCAAAGATGTTAAACATACCAAGAGACACCTTAGGAAGCATCATTCGCAAATTCAAGGCAAAGGGCACTGTTGAAACGCTACCTGGTCGTGGCAGAAAGAAGATGCTGACTTCGACTGCTGTGCGCTACCTGAAGCGTAGAGTGGAGAGAAGTCCCCGTGTGACTGCTGAGGAACTGAGAAAAGATTTGTCAGATGTGGGTACAGAAGTTTCAGCCCAGACAATAAGACGCACACTGCGTAATGAAGGCCTCCGTGCCAGAACTCCCAGGCGTACCCCCTTGCTGTCTCCAAAGAATAAGAAGAGTCGACTGCAGTATGCCAAAAGCCATGTGGACAAACCACAAAAGTTGTGGGATAGTGTTCTGTGGACTGATGAAACAAAATTAGAACTGTTTGGGCCCATGGATCAACGCTATGTTTGGAGGAGGAAAAACAAGGCCTATGATGAAAAAAGAACACCTTGCCTACTGTGAAGCATGGTGGAGGGTCAATCATGCTTTGGGGCTGTTTTGCTTCTGCAGGTACAGGGAAGCTTCAGCGTGTGCATTGCAAGGTACCATGAATTCTCTTCAGTACCAGGAGATATTGGATGGAAACGTGATGCAGTCCGTCACACACCGGCTTGGGAGACGTTGGACCTTTCAACAGGACAATGATCCCAAGCATACCTCCAAGTCCACTAGAGCATGGTTGCAGAGGAAAGGCTGGAACATTTTTGGAGTGGCCATCGCAGTCACCAGACTTAAATCCGATTGAGAACCTCTGGTGGGACTTAAAGAAAGCAGTTGCAGTGCGCAAGCCTAAGAATGTGACTGAACTGGAGGCCTTTGCCCATGAAGAATGGGCGAAGATACCCGTAGATCGCTGCAAGACACTTGTGTCAAGCTATGCTTCACGTTTAAAAGCTGTTATAACTGTAAAAGGATGCTGTACTAAGTACTAAGATTGAATGTCACTTGGGGGTTGAATAAAACTGATAATGCTGTGAGCACAGAAAAGACATTTGTGGTTATTTCATTATAACTGTTATGTTATATTTGTCTGACCTACAAGTGCCTCTTTAATGTAAATGTAAGCAAGATGACTGAATGATCAAAAGCAATGTCAAACTGGCCAAAACACTCAATTTCAGTGGGGGTTGAATAATTTTGGCCACAACTGTACCTGTTTTTGACAGGTACTTGCTCCAACTTCTGGCTCAGTTCTCTGTGGCGAAGTGAGACGCCTCCCGTAGTCTCCTGGAAACTTTCACAAGTCCCAAAAAGACTGCCGGACCAATTAGGAGGCATGCATGCACAGTGGGCACCCAGCTGTGAAGCTGCAAGCTTTCACAACCTGGTGCCCACAGTTGAGATGCCGGTGCCGTGGGAGGGGAGAAGGGATGGTGCGGGTGAGAATATCGCTGGACCCTGGGACAGGTAAGTGTGTGTTTATTAAAAGTTAGCAGCCACAGTTTTTGTAGCTGCTGACTTTTAAATAGCTCAAAAATGGCTGGAACTCCGCTTTAACCTGCCCAGTGTCATTAGTACAGTGCATATTATTGGCACTGATCACTGTAATAATGTCACTGGGATGTCAGTGGAAGTTAGTTCCCACAAAGAGTTAGATTACCCACCGTCCCGTTAAATCACTGATCACCATCACTACTAGTATGAAAAAATAAATAAAAATTCCAGTATATATACCATATTTTGTAGACGCTATAACTTTCATGCAAACCAATCAGTGCACATTTATTGGTTTTTTTTTTTTACCAAAGATATGTAGCAGAATACATTTTGGCCAAAATGTATTAGATTTGAAAGATTGTCAGTCTTTTTTCATTTATAGCACAAAAAAAAAAAATATGGTGATCAAATACCACCAAACGAAAGCTCTAATTATGGGAAAAAAATATAAATTTCATTTGTATACAGTGTTGCATAACCGCGCAATTGTCAGTTAAAGTAATGAAGTGCCAAAAGCATGAAGGGGGGGGTAAATCTTCCAGAGGGTAAATGGTTACAAACTGCACAGCAACCATACTGTATATAGCACCATGCAATCCGGTGCAGGCAAACACACTGCATTTGTGACTTGCATTTGAGGTGTCGTTGAGTTAACATTGACACCTGCTGCAGTTCACAACTACTATGTGTTTTGAATGCGTTGCAGGAAACATGCACAGGATGCTGGTTTTTTGCACACTGCGTTTTGGTGTGAATAGGTCCTGAAAGTAAAAGAAAATGAAAATCCCAAAACAGGAATAAAGGGAAATCTTCCATTGGGGACACTAGTTCTGGTGACACTCTGGGATTCCTTTACTTTAGAGGGATTTATTTTCACTGTTTTGGCTATGGGACAGGAAGTGAAGGGAAATCTACTCAAAAGCAAAAAAAAAGTAACAGGGAGTATAACACTTCCACCCCCCCAAAAAATAAAAATTGCCTCTAATCCTACTTTAAGATAGTCATCCATGTTTACCACTTCCTGACTGCCCGCCTGGAATGTACTGCACAGGGGCAGCTGTTAAATATCGTGACACTTATATTATTTAAGTGTCTGTCTTAGGCGTTTGAGGCAAAGTGTTCTAGTGCCAGGCTGATTTAAAACAGTGTGACTTTTATTTAATTCACACTTGGCATCAAAAATGAATACAAAAGATAAAATAAAATACAGAGTAAAATATAACAAAAGTTGTAGATTATGGAAAAAGAAATAAGCTTTGGAGAAATGTCTAATCTCTGGCCTGTTCTATGACAAGTGTTTCAGTCTTGGCAAGGAAGACAACAGGTGTATCAAGGCTTTGCAGGCCTTAAAAATGTCAGTGCGTGTCAGGTGTATAATGTCTTGATGTATGAGTGTCAGTGAGTGTATGTGTGTGTGTATCCCTATCTCTAAGGCACATCTTATATATATTTTACCAGACCAACCCACTAAACAGTATTTCCTAATTCAGTGTTAGCTAAATAAGTAAAACCCTTTTTTGTACTTCTTCTAAACTTATACTCTTAGTGTCCATATATGTAAACCTTCTAAACTTATATTCTTAGTGTGACGTTATCTTCAAACCTCTTAGACGACAGAAATACATGATACTGTCATATGATATACAATGGCTTCACATATCTTTAGAAAGAGGCAATGTTCACATAAATGCATATAACCAACAATAATTGATACTAAACTTATCACACACTATTCCTAACTAATAAATTGATTATATGAAATAATTATCCAACTAACTATATTATAGATTAGACATGATTTTCTTTATAAAAGACATATCCTTTCTTTGCTTTACTGCATACCAATATCTTTTTGACATTCCGATTTCTATTCTTACGAGAAGCTTATGACCTGCTGACCTCTTAGACATGAATATACCATAGTTCATCTTTAACACCTGTTTTCAAAGCCATCATACACACGCAAAGTTAAAATTACTTCTCAGTGATTTTGCTATCATTGTGAAGGATATGAAAAGATACAGACGTCTGTTTTATGGAATTAATTTCTACAGCAGCCTTTGCAGGCATTTATGCCTGCTTCTGGGTTTAGGGCAAATGCTTGACATGATTAGGATGACAAGCCTTGAGCATGTGCTTTAGAAAAGTTAATATCATTTCTGCTTTTTTCTTTAAAGATTTCTTTCAACATTACATATATTCCAGAGTGGCACACACCATTCGCATGTACAGTATTATTACACCTAGCATAGTTTTATTAGAAATATCCTTTAAGGCCAGGTTCACTAGCATCTGTACAGGTGGTGTGGCTCATGTTTGCTCGGGCACAGAAGACCATTCATTTGCATAGGCTACTCTACCTGCATTTCCTGCACGGAAAAAGTCCCTGATCCTTTTTTTTTTTTTTTTTTAATATGCAGCTGTATAGAATTGCATGCTGCTTTGGCACCATGCAGTTTCACACATCCAAAAACACAGCACTTTCCAATGCGCATGGAATGGTGCTAATAATTATTGGAGCATGTTTCAGGAGCAAGAACGCATGTGATTTACATGCATTCCCACACCCAAAATAGTGTAAGCCTAGGTTTACTCCATAGACCAGTAAATAAAATTTTCAGGTACTGTGTATGTATTTATGCTCCTTTCCAGAGACATCTGTAAACTTATCACCTTTCATGTCCAAACAGCTATCGACACAGGAGATCATCACCGGAACAATGAGGGGACTGAGCTATTGGCACAGCTGATCCTACTCAACATATTGAAGAGGGGTGGAGTTATCGGCACTGCTGATCCTACTCAGCACTTTGAAAGGGGTGGAGATATCAACACAACTGATCTTACTCAGCATAGAGGCAGTTATTTGCACAGTTGATCCTCTCCTATGCAACACATGGAGGAATGCAAACCAGAAGCAGACAACGAGCTCTGTGAGGCTGAGCCAGGTAAAGCATGGGCAGGCAATATTCCATACTCCATTACAGGTGAAGATGCTGCGTACTGAGAGTGTTGGGAGATGGAAGCATTTTGATGAATATGAAATCAGAATGTTACGTGGATAAGGCAGTAGGATGTGCAAGGGATGTGCTGCCTACTGGTTAGGAAAGCAGCTCTAAGAGAAATGTTTTGGCTGACATATCTACACACTTTCTGAAGACACTGGCTGCCTTACTATCATGCTGATCATGTGACTTTAAGGGTCAGTTCACACCAGGCCTGTTGTAGTGTGTTGGGTGCAGTTGTCCAACACAACCAAAACAATATCAGTGGAAATAACACTGGCAGCAAATGGCGTTCCTTACACCTATGCCCTGTGTTGCAATCCATTGATCTAACATGATACCTGCATAATTTTTTTGCAAAACAAACAATGAAAAAAAAATGTCCCTTCCTGCTGCCATCTGGCACCATTTTGTTTTTCTAAACCACTGAATCAGCAGCCATGATCGAAATGATGTCACAGAAAATAAGCACACAACATGTCACAAGATAACACAGCTCAACATAACACAACAAAAGCACACTCTGAAAGTAACCATATTGGAAACCCGCATCAACCCATTACCTGTTTATTCATCCCAGCTCAGATGCTGTAATGCTTGCTTGTTGTGGTGTGAACTGTCCCAAAAGGCTCCTTCACAGCAGATGCAGTGGGACTATGCTGGCATTTCTCGAGCAGCACAACACTTAGAAAAGGTAACATTTCTGGTTTTCTAGGCTTCACACCACAGTGTTGCAGTAGTGTTCGCCAAAAAAAAAACAAAAAAAAAACTACATGCTGAACTTCTTTTAATGCAGGGGGTCGCAGTGCAGATTACTGCATTGCAACTCTTCTGTGGTAACTAGAACAGTATTGAACAGTCACCCATAATATTTCGGTAACGTTCTGTGAAGAGAAAAAAGTAAACACTGACATTGGTACTGTGTCCCCCAGGGCACACCACCACCCCCATATGTTTAGTGCCACTTGCTAGTGTGAATAAGCCTTAAAAGAGAAGTATGGGACCTTTATTAATTGTCAAATCATACCAGGCTGCATCTGTCCCCCGTCGGCTCTAAGTGTGAGAACTCAGCGATCACATGATCGCTGAGTTCTCACTGCCGCTGTGAGTGTGATGACTGTCAGTCACCGCTGTCTGCTCTGCTTTCCCCCCATGCTCTCACTGGAGCACTGGGCTGTGCAGGGGGAGGGAGCAGTTGGCTCAGGCTCTCAGTGGCTTGCTGCTGAAAGGCTGAGCCAGGTGCCGCTCCAGACTCTGGGGTGGATCTTTACTTTAAAGTTGGGATCATTCCCCAGCCTGGACCGGCTGAGTGACATCAGCTGACAGCAAGCTTCAGCCTACTGTCAGCTGAAAATGGGTCACAGGAGTGTAGAACAAACTGTACTCCTGTGATCCACAGGAGAAGTATAGCCAAAAGAACTATGGCTGTACCCCTTTAAGAGAACCTACCACCAACTTAAATCCTTATGTAGTGGTGGCATTCCTTTTTGTTTTTTTAAGGGTCCTTCAGTTTCTTTTTTTTTTTTTTTTAGGGTCCTTCTTTAGGGCCCTTTCAGTTTTTGACAGTGGGCTGTGGCAGATTTGAGTTAGATCTATGGGCTACCTCCAATCACGTTTAGTCAAGGCTGTGTATGTTTACTAGTTGTAATCAAAATCATTTTTTAATTAATAAATACAAACTCCATTATTTGGTGTGTGCATGTTCAATATTTGCATTTGGATTTTTAGGGAAAGCGTATAAATCAGGGTGGATAAAAAATGATTTATAAAAAAATAAATTTAAAAATCTTTTTTTTTTTTTTTTTTTTTTTTTTATAAATCGGATTTTTTTGATTTTTATCAAATTTATTTTAATGCTTTTGTAGTACAAATCTATCTAAAGATAGTTTTCTATTTAAGATACATTAATAATTTAGTTTTTTCAGCAGGAAATGGAGCTTAATTATGCAGCATAAGGTTGTATATAAGCTGAGATAACTTGCACTGCATTGATGCATTCACACAATTTCACAGTAACCATGAAAAAACACATGAAATAAAAGAACTTGAGTAGTTCTACAACTACGTGTGATTAACCTATTAACCTAAAATTGGTTCTGATATCTAACCTGACAGCTTATTATTCTAAAAAGGAAACCTTCATTTGGTTTGCAAGTATTTGCGATTCTAACTACCAACAAGAATGAGTCGGAGTCCTTACATTTAAAGAGCACCTGTCATTTTAGATCCATCATGGGAGCGCCTGTTAGCGGGCGTCCACTCACCTGCTGACACGTCCCTCACCTTGTTGTGTCACTGCCGCATTACCAGCCATCCCATTAAAGTGAATGGGGCTGTCGGTGAGTCAGCAGCGGGTCAGAGGAGGAGCCGCTGTGGGACAGAGGTGACAGTTGATCTTTAAAACTTATGATTTAAATTGAACCTTTTCACTAGTGATTTAAATTGTGATTTAAATCAAATCCACCCTGATATATATTTATATTTTTCTACTAATGTTTTGTTTTTACTTTCTTTTAAGAGAGCTCTAAGATTCTGATTCACCTTCTGGAAGGAAATGCCTTTGTGTGGAATGTCGAAGATGCTCGTAAGATACGGGAGAAGCATGGCCTGATAGGGAAGCTCGTAGGAGCTTTGGTCAGAAAACCTCAGCAGAATACACGGCTCGGCCTTCCACTAGGACTTCTACCTGAGGAGACCAGACTGCTGGTAGAAATTGGGGCAGCAACACTTGTGTGTGGATGCATCAAAGAAAAGGAACACGCAGATCTCAGTGATTTACATTTGGTTTGTATTGCGACATTCTAAAGCCTAAGTGTACCTAAAAAAAAAAAAAAAAAAAAAAAATACAAATTAAACACAAGAGTATTGTCTTCTACTTCAGTATTAATCTCCCTGTTCTGATGCAAAGTGTATATAGTGCATTTGTGTAAAGGTTACAACCCTGTTGAGCTTTATTTCTACTGGTGTCCAAATGAGGAGAATTACCTTCACTCCCTGTCCCATAGACACAACAGAAAGTGAGAGGAAATCTCTCCAAAGGGAGGGAAATCCCATCCTAGACAGTTGTCACTGGAGCAGCTGTCCCCATTGGAAGATTTTCTACTTTTGTTGAATTCCTTATTGCTTCCTGTCCATGTGTCACAGGTCACCAGGTCCAGCTGAGAGCGAATCTTCCTGGCAGGGACAGAGACAGAAATAACAACTACGCAGGGGTTTTAATTCTTAAAGCGGAACTTCACCCAAAAGGGGGGAGGGCACAGCAGGTACCTGGTTGTGACAGGTACCCACTCCCCCACTTCCGGTCGCATCGCAGTGGCAATCCAAGCGAATGTTCGTGCCCCCTCCTTTACCCCCAGCCTTGGACATGTCACAGGTGTAGTGAGTAGTTGGCTGTGAAGCCGCAAGCAGTCTCACAGTATGCCAGCGTCGGGGACCGAAGCCTGGTGAGGATAGCGCTGGATCACTGGACAGGTGAATGTCCTGTTAAATGTCGGCAACTACAGTTTTTGTAGCTGCTGACTTTTAATTTTTGAACAGATGACTGAAAAACCACTTTAATCACAGTATCCCAACTAACAAAGAAATCTTGGACTTAGAGATATACTTTAACTCAGCTTTAGGGTTAATTAATACCACCATCCCTGTATAATTTATATTTACTTCTCTTGTTCTGGTTTTGTTCTAAGCATCCATGTTTTTTTTATTTGCCATTTTAATGTTTTTTTAAGAAACATAATTGTTGATCTTCCTATGTAATGTATTTTATTTGTATTCAACCTCAAATGGCTATGACTATTTATCAGCAGGACAGCACAAGTTTTTCCACTGCTGTACTTGAGGAGTCTTCAAAGGCAGAGGGTGAGACTTTCAAGAGATTTCTGCTAAATAGCTATGAAGAGCAGCGGCAACTGGCTTTGGAGGAGAAAAGACACACGCTGGAAAGATTGTCAGAGAGTATTATAAAAGGTAGAAGCAAGCAAAAGCGACGGCATGGGAAACGAGAAGGTGAGTGTTGTAAGAGCTACCCTATCAATGCTTATTAAATTGTATGTAATCCCAAACAATAAACTTCTAGTCTCATTATGGTCTGTTAACACCACATATACTGTACATAGTAAATGTATCAGCCCTCCCATTCTGGACTATAGAACAACTCCCCCCTATGTGATTGGGGTGTACTGTAGTTCTAACCCATATCCCTGTCCCAGAGTGACATTGCTGATCCTCCATAAATTCAGTACTGTTATAGCATTGATATCTTAGGGCAGGAACAGTTACTGTCAGGATTGTCAGGCAATATTTGTGTGAATGTGTGCTTCTAGTCATCTTAAATCTGGGGAAAAAAAAAAAAAGAAAAGAGAGGAGGAATCACCTCTAAGTGCAGTATGAAGGAACATTTACTAAACACAAAGGTATAATCGCTCACATTATGGAGGTGATTAACAGGCTCATCAGGTAGTGAGGAGTCCAAATGGATCTGGATCCTAGCTGAGGTTTGCTGCGTTAGGTGCTGGAAGAGACCCAGGTTCATGGAGGTTGGCCGACATCTCCGTCTCCATCAACAGGGCCGTGGAATGCACTGTGGGCGTCAGTGTGATGACTACAGCAGGACCAGAATGCACTGCAATGCGTTTCGGAGCGTGTGTGAAGCCAATAGAGGGCAAGTGCGCTACCTGCTCAAGCAATGTATTGCAAAAAGGGAAACCTAATGGTAGACTAAATAAGACCACCCTAATAACATTGTCAAAAAGGATTAGGGCTGGAACCTGGATCAGAGTTTGAATGAAAAAACTGAACTTGCCATGATTAGGGACAACACAGAATTGTGTTTGCCGTTTTGATAAGAGGCTACAGAAAGCAAACCCTGCTTATTTTATCAGTAAATATGGTTGCCTTGTGTAGACATTGATTTGTAGATAATGGCCACCGCTCTTTTTCTTTGGTTTATACAGAAGAACCAATGGAATCCTGTTCCCATGGACCTATTAAAGAGCTTCAGAACCTAGAAGAGACTTTCCATTTCCCTGAGGAAGCCATGATGGTGCAGATTCCAACAGCTAGAACTAATTTGCACAGTATAGAAGAGGTCGATCTGTGCAAAGCCTCACTAGACTGGCCGTATGCTGGGCAGAAAAAGCACGAATTACGGTTCAAGGTTTTCAGGGACCTCTGGCAGAAAGGATACTACCTCACCAGTGGCAACAAGTTTGGTGGAGACTTTCTTGTTTATCCAGGTATTGTATGAACACAACTGGAAGAAAACAATGGGGTTGATTTTTGCAAAGTCAGTTTTTAAATTGGCTTAAGCCGGCTATAGATGGATCGAATTTTGGCCAGTTCAACAGGGCCATCTAAGATTTGATCTATTTTTGGGCAGGCTGGTTGTAGTGAAGTCTATGCATTGATCGAGTTCAGTACAACCAGCCTTTCAGATTTTTTACATATGATTATAGTATGGCTATAGCCGCTGGCAGTAATTGGCTGGCAACCCATCTAGACCTAATAACTTGCATTTTTAGGTCCACGCCTTGAGGTGGAGGAATGGTAGTGGGACCCACTTGCATACTTTGCTAAGTAAACAGTCTACACCCCTTTAGACTTACTAGGGAACTGTACACTTAAGAGATCAACCAAGCTTTTATTGGAAGCTGCTACTTCCTGATCCTAGTCCCTAGAGGATTACAGATAAAATTAGGGGTCACTGCAGATGATGTGATTGCCCCGGTACAAGTGTGTGGGCTGGAAGATATATAGTGGCAATGACAGTAATGGCCTTCTACTGTTATTTTACTTCCTGACATGTTCCCTGTTAAAGGTGAAGTATACTGAAGATGAAAAATTGTACATTGCATAATTCAGGGTGTAGGGATTAACTAATATTTTAGTTTATGTTGGATTATTAATATGTATTATTGGAAATCATTGAAAAATTTGCTAAATATAGATCAGTACTACAAAAAGGAATCAGTGCCTGGGAATCTCAATTCCTGGGCAGCACTGATGTGCAAATTGAGACTGGCATTCCTGCGTTGTCTTATTCTGTCCTTTAAAAATTATTTACTGGAGTACACTAAACATTCCCTTTATTTTCTTCACACTTTTACATGCTGGCACTTGCATATTTAATTATTGTATTGAATATAGAGTTTTGTAGATTGACTAGGGAGTTCTGTATTTGTGAACAATAGAGAGAATGAATGATGCTGAATGAAATAAGTCACACAGCGAATGTATTATTTTAAGTTAGCTGGCTGACTCATAGACTTGCATTGTGCGAAAGAGCAGGAACAAAGGCTTTGTAGCATTGCAAAGCAAGAATTGGAGCCTACATATGTAATGAGCACATGCAGCATATCTGCCTCCATTTACATATTTTATACAGAAACAATGCTTGAAAACATTTTGAAGAATGTTTAAAGCATTAGCACTTTGATGTTGTTTTTTTTTCATTTAAGTTGATTTTTTTTTTTTAACATTTTTATATCTAAGAACAAAATTAAAACAGCTGTGTATTCCTTTAGTAATGCTGAGCTCTGAGTACACAGCTAAATGCACAGTAGAAAAATATACCTGAACTTTTATATTTTTTTTTTTAACTTGCGAAATGATTTGGAATTGAGTAAAGCCAGTTTTTGTGATCCAGGTATGCCTACAGCCAGGGGCGACTGACCATTTGGAAACTCGGGCACTGCCTGAGGGTCCGGGGTCAGTAGGGGGCCCATGTGATGCCCCTGGTACCTTTTTCATAGGCTTTTTTGAGTTTGGGCAAGGACACAGGGGCCCCATGATCCCCTATTGCCCAGGGGCCCCATGAGTTGTCAGTCCGCTCCTGCCTACAGCACAACCAGGTCCTCAACCTTTATTATGGCAGCAGTACTGCATAGTCAGGAAAACGCACCCCAGCCTACTGATTGGCCAATGAAGAAACAATAGGATAATGATAAAGTCATCTCTCTGCTCCAGTCTTGCAGTCACGTTCCCCATCAGCACATGTGCACTCAAACAAATGTGATGAGCTCCTAGTGCTACCCCTCCCTTTCCCAGTCTAACTGAAGCCGTTTCAGTGTCTTACATGGTCATTAAAATGGACCTTAAAGGTAAATACTGCTAATCCGCAGTACCCCCCCCCCCCCCCCCCCCCCAAATATGTTTTTGGTTGTGTGTTTAAATGTACCTTACACTTGTGGTCACTGGGAAGAATTCCCCCTTATAGATAGCCAAAAAGGTCAATGATGTTGGTGAGAACTTTATTTAAAAGGCAGAAATTGCGCAAGGAACCCCTAGCAACCTCTGGAGGAACCCTCGGGTTTCATGGAATCCTGGTTGAGAAACCCTGGTATAAAGTATCCATTTTGGGAATATAGTGCCATTCATTTGGCTTTGTCATATCGTTGATGGCTTGGACAGAGAAAATTTGGTGCTCACCTTAGGGAGTCACAAGCGATTAAAAAAAATCCAGAATTTAATTGCCTCCACAACAAAAAAACAAAACCAGAATCTCTTATTTTAGTGTGTTCTCTTCCATGCCTAGAGCGGTTCACCAATACCTGTATTGTATCTTGTAAGCAGAAGGGGCAACTCTAACCTGTGCATGTGACTGTACCGCTGTGTTCTTCCACTTTAGATTCTGTTTGATGCATGGTAAATTAAGCTGAATAGGAGCTGTCCCAAATATTTAATTGTTACTACACAGTTTCAGCTCCATTCACCCTCTTGAAGATGTTATTATGTGTTCATTTCATTCCCAGTATTGAATATGTATTTGTTTTAATGCAGGAGACCCTATGCGCTTCCATGCACATTATATCGCCATCTGCCATCCACAAGATGAAGAAATCCCACTAAGTTACATTATCACTGCAGGAAGACTGGGAACAAATGTCAAGAAGACAGTACTGCTGTGTTCCTCTAATGAAGAGGGACTAGTGACTTACACTTCTTTACAATGGTCAGGATTGCAGTAAAATATTTCAGAATACAGTATCTTTGTTCTGCTTTGTGGCACTGTTCCCCACAGTGACGGTACCAAATGTCATGGAGATTATGAGAATCATCTAAAAGTACCTGAAATGACGTTCATGCAGATAGCAATAAGTTATGCGCTTAATGCACTTCTCTGTTCAATTCAAATTGCGCTTCTAAAAGAAAACTGTATCAGCATATTTGCTTTCAGTGAGGATGGCATGTCATCAATAGATATACTGTGTGTATATACACCGATCAGCCATAACAATATGACCAGTGAAGGGGAAAGTGAATTACATTGATTATCTTGTTACCATGGCATCTGAAAGTGGATGGGATTTATTAGACAGCAAGTGAATGTGCTGTCCCTAAAGTTGATGTGTTTGAAAGCAGGAAAAATGGCCAAGCATAAGAATTGGCATAACTTTCACAAGAGCCTTTGACTAGACGACTGGTCACAGCCTCTTCAAAGCTGCAGCTGTTTGGGATGTTCCTGGTCTGCATTGGTCAGAGCCTACTAAGTGGTCCAAGGAAGGAAAACCAGTGACGGGGTCAAAGGTGCCCAAGGCTCAGGTCTTTGGATCTGCTACTGGTGGCTTAGTGCCAAATACCGTGGATGGTCACATGTATATGTGTGTGTGTGTATGTATATGTGTATGTATATGTGTGTGTGTATGTATATGTGTGTGTGTATGTATATGTGTGTGTGTATGTGTATATGTGTGTGTGTATGTGTATATGTGTGTGTGTGTGTGTGTGTGTATGTATATATGTGTGTGTGTGTGTGTGTGTGTGTGTGTGTGTGTGTATGTGTATGTATATGTGTGTGTATGTGTATGTATATGTGTGTGTATGTGTATGTATATGTGTGTGTGTATGTGTATGTATATGTGTGTGTATGTATATGTGTGTGTGTGTGTGTGTGTGTGTGTGTATATGTGTGTGTGTGTATATATATATATATATATATATATATTATATTATTAATTTTGTGTACACACGAAAGTATTCACAGCACTTAACTTTTGCCACATTTTGTTACAGCCGTATTCCAAAATGGATTAAATTAATTTTTTTTTCTTCAGTCTACAATGTTGAAGAAAAACATTCTACAAGCAATACCCCATAATGACAACGTAAAAGAGAAGTTCGTTTTGAAATCTTTGCAATGTATTAACAAAAAAAACACATGTACATAAGTATTCACAGCCTTCGCTCAATAATTTGTTGAAGCACCTTTAGCACCAATTACAGCCTCAAGTCATTTTGAGTATGATGCCACAAGCCTGGCACACCTATTTTTGGTCAATTTCTCCCATTCTTTGCAGTACCTCTCAAGCTCCATCAGGTTGGATGGGGAGTGTTGGTGCACAGCCATTTTCAGATCTCTCCAGAGATGTTCAATCGGGTTCAAGTCTGGGCTCTGGCTGGGCCACTTCAGGACATTCACAGAGTTGGCCCGTAGCCACTCCTTTGTTATGTGGGTTGTGTGTTTAGGGTCGTTGTCCTGTTGAAAGATGAACTGTCACCCCAATCTAAGGTCCAGAGCGCTCTGGAACAGGTTTTCAAGGATGTCTCTGTACATTGCTGCATTCATCTTTTCTTCGATCCTGACTAGTCTCCCAGTTCCTGCCGCTGAAAAACATCCCCACAGTATGATGCTGCCACCACCATGCTACACTGTAGGGATGGTATTGGCCAGGTGGTGAGCGGCGCCTTATTTCCTCCAGACATGACGCTTGGCACTCAGGCTAAAGAGTAAATCTTTGTTTCATCAGACCAGAGAGTTTTGTTTCTCATGGTCTGAGAGTCCTTCAGGTGCCTTTTGACAAACTCCAGGTGGGCTGCCGTTTGCCGTTTACTGAGGAGTGGCTTCTGTTTGGCAACTCTACCATACAGGCCTGATTGGTGGAGTGTTGCAGAGATGGCTGTTCTTTGGAAGGTTCTCCTCTCTACACAGAGCAACGCTGGAGCTCTTTCAAAGTGACCATCGGGTGCATGGTTACCTCCCTGGCTAAGGCCCTTCTCCTTCGATCGCTCATTTTGGCCGGGTGGCCCACTCTAGGAAGATTCCTGGTGGTTCCAAACTTCTTCCATTTACGGATGATGCAGGTCCCTGTGCTCATTGGGACCTTCAATGCTGTAGAAATATTTCTGTATCCTTTCCCAGATCTGTGCCTTGATACAATCCTGTGTCGAAGGTCTACGGACAATTCCTTGGACTTCATGGCTTGGTTTGTGCTCTGACATGCACTGTTAACTGTGGGACCTTATATAGACAGGGTTATGCCTTTCCTAATTGTCAAATCAACTGAATTTCCCACAGGTGGACTCCAATCAAGTTGTGGAAACGTCTCAAGGATGATAAGTGGGAACAGGATGCACCAGAGCTCAATTTTGAGTGTCATGGCAAAGGCTGTGAATTTATGTGGGTTTTTTTTTTATTTTTTAATAAATTGCAAAGATTTCAAAACAAACTTCTTTCACGTTGTCATTATGGGGTATTGTTTGTAGAATGTTGAGGGAAAAAAATGAATCAATTTTGGAATAAGGGTGTAACATAACACAATGTGGTAAAAGTTAAGCGCTGCGAATACTTTCTGGATGCACTGTGTGTGTGTGTGTGTGTGTGTGTGTGTGTGTGTGTGTGTGTGTGTGTGTGTGTGTGTATGTGTGTGTGTATATATATATATATACATATATATATATATATATTTGGTATATATATATATATATATATATAGGGCCACTGATATTTGTTTTCCCTACTCCTCTTTTCTGACTGTTTTGCATTTGACTAGGGTCAGTATCACTACTGATAGAATGAGACGTTATCTGGACCCTGCACAAGCAGTCCAACTCCTCCAGGATGGCACATCAATACTTGCCATTGCCAGAACGTTTGCTGTGTCTCCCAGCACAGTCTCAAAAGTATGGAGGAGATTCCAGGAGACAGGCAGTTACTCTAGGAGAGCTGGACAGGGCTGTAGCAGGTTCTTAACCCATCAGCAGGACCGGTATCTGCTCCTTTTTATGCAAGGAGGAACAGGATGAGCACTGCCAGAGCCCTACAAAATGACTACCAGCAGGCCACTGGTGTGAATGTCTCTGACCAATCAGAAACAGACTTCATGAGGGTGGGCTGAGGGCCTGATGTCCTCTAGTGGGCCCTGTACTCACTGCCTGGCACCATAGAGCTCGATTGGCATTTGCCATTGAACACCAGAATTGGCAGGTCTGCCACTGATGCCCTGTGCTTTTCACAGATGAGAGCAGGTTCACTTTTTTACTTTTAATGCACAAAAACACAATATATTGGCCAATTATTTGGTATAATATAAAGGATGATGGTATGCCTTGTAAATGGATACCAAACATGCTTTAAAACTAAAAGTCTTAATAATGCAGCGCTTGAAATTAATAATGTAGCAATAACCAGATAGAACAACAACTGAGATATGTTCATAGAGTGTTCATATGTGGTACACTTAAGTCCGCACAACAAGGTATTCCAATACGGTAGAAATCACATGGTGCAAAAAAGTCCCAGATGCTCCGTGAAAGGATAGTACAATAATGTACTTACCAGAAGTACGTACAAACTGGGCGTTGTATGCAACAAATCCGTGAGGTCATCAAGGTCTGGTCACTGGTATGGCGCCATCTAGGGCTTGTAGTGGGTTCCCAGGAATGGTGTCACTCACGCTTGGGGGCCACATCAAACTCACCAGAGGGTCCAACGTCGTCCAGACTCCTGCAGCTGCTCCACCTTAAATGGCTCGAAACATAACGAGCCCGGGAGGCAAAATAGTGCTAATAGATAGTGTAGTAACGTTTATTTAGGGATCCAAAAACATCAATAAACTGCAGGACACTCACATGTAGCACAGCATTGGCTTAAGGTATATCCCCATAAGGAAGCAATAAATCATAAGGTTGGCGTCAAATTGAGGGATTCCCCTGACATGTTTCGTGCGGATTGCACATTATCAAAGGGGTGAATCCTCTCAATGAGACGCTCTTCTAAATACATATTGCCGCGCATGCGCAGTGACCGCTACGCGTGACCGCGCATGCGCGAGTGACGTCACGCCGCGGCCATATTGGAGCCAGCCTGCATCGAGAGAACACTGAGCTATGAACATATCAGCAGGCCACTGGTGTGAATGTCTCTATCTGGTTATTGCTACATGTCCTAATTTCAAGCGCCTGCATTATTAAGACTTTTATTTTGATTACTGAGGTGCCACGTGGTATGCCTTTTTATGCTAGCACTTTTTCCTACTAATTTTTCATTTTTATTTAGTATAATATCGAGTTGCGCTCATTCCAATCTGTTAAAACATGCTTTAAAACTGTCCTTGCCCTGTGCAATGGCGACAAACTGCATACATTTTTAATATCCATAGGCAACACTTTAAAAGCCTTTACAAGCTATCATTTTAGATTTACAGAGGAGGTCTAATGCTAGAATTACTGCCCTTGATCTGACGTATGTGGCGATACCTCACATGCATAGTGCAACTCCTGTTTCCATACTGGTACAGGGTCAACACACACACACGCAGGTGCTTGGGGGGGGGGGGGGGGGGTGAGGGTTTTTTTTTTTTTTTTTGATCACTTTTAATGCTAACACAGGGAATGCAAATATGCCCTATAGCTTCAATGGGCATTGCCATAAATATCTTTTTTGAGACTGGGGTCTAGACTCTAGATATATCTTCTGCCCTTACATTATCTAATCTCGCCAAGATTGGTGTGATCAGATGATTTCCCACATTAAAAAATGGCGCTGTTTATATCCTACAAAACTGAAGTGATGAAATGCTGTTAGCTTCCAATTTCTTAGACTATAGAGATGATTGGCACCAGTCCGGTCTCCAATCAGCTCTATGGTCAGCTGCAGAAACACCGGCTGCATTCTCAGGTTCTCCTGATGGCATGGGACTGCCCGAGAAGGCAGTGAGGGAGGGGGAGTCATCTTCTCCCACTGCTTGTA